CCGCCCCGCGGCGCGGCCCGATTTGTGGTCTTATCGTTTCCCGTCCTTTGGGAGCTTAAGCAGTATTAATAATCATAAGGTATAATGATAAAATATATCTGTCAAAAACTGAATCATCTAAGAAACAGAAGGGACAGTTTTCTCAAGTGGCCAGCAGCTAGTGTCTGATGGAATAGAATCACTTTCAAAGTATAGATCGTATTACAATAGAGATCTGTTCGTATTTTAGACAAACAAGTTTACTCCTCTCTTTCATTAATGATATATTTTGTTCATTATTTAGCTTAAAACCATCACTATCTCTGGACAAGTTCTGCCATACTGAGATAGCAAAGACAAGACTTGCAAGAAATGAATTTATATATACCAGATTTCTTTCAGAAAAATGTGCTTTTATATGCTCTTACGAGGAAACATTCCCAAGGGAGGCACTCCGATTTTTTTCACTCTTATGCCGATCAATAGCATATATCGAGATAGTAAAAAACCTAAAAGGGTTTGTGCCCATGCCTCTTGAAGACCCGATTTTTTGAAAACCAGTTTTTCAATAACTCTAAAAAATGACCGAGATCTTTTTCAATGATACATGATTGTAGCCCACAAATTTCTGATTAAAATGAGACATCCTCCAGCTTTACATGACCTTTCTTTACAAAGTTATAAAATTTACAAGAAAAGCCCTAAATGTTCATTGCCAGCTCAAAGCTAGAAAAATTAGAAGAAACTAATTTAGGACTTTTCTTGTACACTCTTTAACTTTGCAAAGAAAGGTCGTCTAAAGCTGCGAGATGTCTCAGTTTAATCAGAAATTTGTGGGCTACAATCATGCATCATTGAGAAAAGATCTCGGTCATTTTTTAGAGTTATTGAAAAACTGGTTTTCAGAAAATCGGGTCTTCAAGAGGCACGGGCACAAACTCTTTTAGGTTTTTTACTATCTCGATATATGCTATCGATCGGCATAAGAATGAAAAAAACCGGAGTGTCTCCCTTGAAAATGTTCCCTCGTTAGATATCCTCAGATATCTTTAGATTTCGTTAGTTTTCGAATCGCATATAGGTGACAATTTTCTACCGTACACAAAACACGCAAAACAAACGTTTTTCATTCTGTTTCGTTTTTGATTGTATCAGAAATGGAAGAGAAACGTGAAGCATGTGCTAGATAAGAAAAGAAAATGTCTCTTGTTGGATACGACTATGATATTGCTTTCAATATTACGTTGTAGAAAAAAGTGGATCATAAAAAATAAATTATAAATGGCTTCATCAACCACTGATAGTTTATGGTTTGTTGCCGGTAGTACAGCTGAAGGACAAGCCTATGCTGTACATTGTGGACAGAAAAGTGTTCAAGATATTGATATCATGATGGTCGAAGGTACAATTAGTTCTCCAACAGCTCTTATTCCAACAAATATTTCTGGTTTTAAACAAATCCGATTTGACCAAGTAAAAATATTAGGTGGTCAATCGTGTCTGACGTCAACACTAAATTCCAATGGAGTATTATGTCTTAATGGTTTAAAAATGAAAGAACATGTGTTGTCTCGTTGTAGAAATGAGACAACACCTGTTGCAGAAGTACCAGGGACGGATAGAACAGAATACCAAACAGATTCTGCAGCAGCTTCTGTTGCTGCAACACAGAAATATGACCCATTAGCATCGGAAAACCATTTTACACACGTTTTTTCTGATCTTTTACATCCTCAGCAACCATCATTGCCACCTAATTTATTAAAAGAACGATTTCGTAAAATTTCTGACGGTGTTATGGACGCTATGCGTCGTTATGTGTTACCATTAGTAACAAATGAACAAACACAAAAAACAGTAACAGAATGGTGTATGAATGAACAACGTTTTCGTGATTTATTGAATATGATTGGTCCTGTTTACGGCTATCATTTACCTCAAAAATTGAAACAGCAATTACAATTAATACTGGATTTTTATGATAAACATAAGCATTTGTCAAATTCATTTCACTGTAAACAGATAACTGACTATTTTAAATCTTGTATGCCAAAGGAAATAGACTGGGTTCCGGCTATACAAATCAAAGGTTTTTGGCCGGATGATGTTAAATGGTTTCTCAAACGTTTTAAAAAAAATCGTCCACATTTGTATGACGAAATAATACCGACTACATCGATGCATCTTATAGCTAAATGGCCAAGAAAAACGTCGAACACCGATGAAGAACTGGGATTTCGTTATTCGTTTTCAGCTCTTGAACGTGCAATCGCACAAAAGCGTACTGAAAATGAGCAAATTCTAAATGGTATCGCCCGATCCATTTACTATCGTTACCTGAAAACGACTCGTAATCTGATACCGTCGTATTTCGTTAAGACAACGGTATTATGGATGTGTGAAATAATGTCTGATTTAATCAAAAAGATTGTTGGGGATAGTTCTGAATCTGTAGCACGACAAATTGGCTTTGAATGGATCAAATTTGCTACAAAACAATTGCAACAGGGTATTTGTCCGCATTATTTTATTGAAAATGTAAATCTGCTTGAACCCTATAAACAAGAATTATTGAATGAAGCATCTAATACTCTTTACGAGAAAGTCAATTTAGATCAAATGATTCAAATAGAATTCATGGAAATACGCAAGCAAATGATTGAAGGTATGTACAAAAACGATGAACAATTTATACGACAATTAAAAGTCGTTGATTTAATACAAGCGGTGAATGATTATCATGAAATGAAACATTTGTGGTCTTTACCTGTTGATTATAATAACAACGATAATGCTGTAGCATCATGTTTGTCAATATTAAATCTAATGGGTTCGGTTGACAATAATCAACCAAATTGGATCAGTTTTCGCGAATTAATACTTAAAAATGACGAAGAGGATGAACAACAACAGGAACCACCGATATGGGGCGAAGATGTGACATTATGGGGTCCATCAGAGTTTACTGAAAATTTACGTGCTGTTGCCTTACTACTAAAATTAATAAATGAAATTTTAATTAATGAAAGCTTTACTGATTATCGTTGTGTCGAATATAATCCACATGATATTCAAAGTCTTCAAAGTATTTCACGAGAGGCTATGAACCCAGCTAATATGATGCCTTATCTTATATCAGTATATGGTTCATTATTTACCGGTTCTTCTTTTGGTATGAATCAAAATCGAATGAAGCAAGTTTTATCATCGTTTCTTCGACGAACATTAATTCAAGATCAAGGAGTTGGACCACGATTGAATTTACAAACGGAAAATGGTGAGTATAGTATTATTATAATTCGAACTTTTATGAAACTCTGACTCATATGTAGGTGTAGTTTTTGAGAAAATCAAATTCATTGACTTCTTTAACCAGTTAAAACTAAATGAGTCGAAATCTTGTATTTTTAATTTCGACGATTCATCTGTGTTATGAGCTCTCAAAATGGAGAATAAATTCTGTTACAGGGTTCGTTTTCAGTTACTTTAATTGTCCTAATCAATGCAAGAAGACAATCTTTGAGGCCTCTCTTCTACAGGATAATTTTTTTGAGAAGATATAAATCTTTTCAGTTCTGTGAAGTCACAATATTGGCTTGTATGCAGGACTTTCCTGAATATGTCGAAAACTCGATATATGGTTTAAAACAATGTGATATTTTTTTATAAACAATCCAATATGCTTAGCCAAAGCAGATTCGAATGTTTAAGCTTAATTTAACGAGGAAACTTTCTTTCAACGTTCATAATTCTTGTTATAGGCTAGGTTTCGCTTGTACCTGTTCCTCTTTGACCAATCCGAAGTATACTCCAACGAGCTTCGAGCATACTTTCGCTAGGTTTTACATCTATTGCATTTCTTATAGCAAAATAAGCGGGTTGACAGGATGCAGTTTTTCCTAATATTTGCATATGTAATCGAAATCTTTTAACTTATCTAAGTGCTAGAAAATCACGCATACTCGTTTACCTCGCTGCAATGATCATGATAGTGTACAGGAGAGTTTGAGCATCTAAATGTGCTCAAATCTTATCTGACATTTGATTGTGAATGTTTCTTTAAATTTACGTTAAATTTATGTTTCCTTCCTTATCAGAAAATTGAAGCAGAGATTCGAATTTCAGGCTCTTTCGAAAAATAGAAACAGATTGAACAACATTTATATATCTTTTTTCCTAGTTTACTGCAATTCGAATTGGAGTATTCGTAGTAGTGAAGATATTTTCCACACCAGCAACGGTTGCAACTTTGATTTAGATTCGCACGATTATCAACCACGAATGCGAAACAGACAACAAGAGCGTCCTTCTTGTTTTTCTGCAGATCTTATGAATTTATTTCAGCAGGCTCCATCAAAAGACATGACTATAGGAGATTATCTTGATCATAGACGAAAATTAATCGAGGAACGAAATAGACAAACTGAGTTTGATGAGGATCTGGCGCATGCCTTACAACTATCTTTAGACAATCAACGTTTATTGCCAAGTTTCGATGCAGAAAATAATAACCAACAATATCTGTCAAATGATGTCACTATTGTTGTTGAAGAACAAAACGAACAAGAAGCCAAAGAACAACACAATGAATTCGAATTATTGAATATCCAAACGCATGAGTCACCAGACAATAGCAACCAACAACAAGCCCGAGCAAATGATACAACTGCTGTCGAACAAAATTTAATGAAAGGACAAAATAAACAAGTTCTATCAAATGGTGATGACCTAGTCGCTAGAACTTTACAGTTATCCTTCGAACAACAATATCATGATTATTTGTTAGCTTCTGCATTACAAGCCATAGAAAATGAATAAATAAGAATTGAAAGAATCGTTAGTGGTCGATACTCAACCATGTGGCTAGTACTTGACGAGTACTAGCTACACTTATGATATGCTAGTGTACGGAGGAAAAAAATAAGGGTGAGTCTATTGGCACTCCCAGGGAGTGTCAACAACGTCAACGCTGATTTGTAAACTTTGCAACCATATAATTCCTAACACACAGCGTTTTCTTTGAAAAAAAACCGGTATCATTTTTCGGAAAACAGAATATACGTGCACTATTTGAACTTACGCCGGTGACACTGTTTTTTCATTTAACCATATCGCACTGGCGAGAAACTTGAAATAACTTATACATCTCGCGAATTAGAACTCATTTACAAACAACTCAAAAATTAAAAAAGCTCTAAAAGAACAACATTTAATTTAAAATGCTCGGCGCCGGAGAATAAACCACTTTTCCGACATAGCTTTTACACTAAGTTTCCCTGACGACGGAAATAGCTCTTAGTTGTCACTCCCGGGAGTGCCAATAGCTTCTTGTTGCCACTCCCGGGAGTGCCAATAGCTTCTTGTTGACACTCCCGGGAGTGCCAATAGCCATTCCGAAAAAATAAACCGGTGGTATCCTCAGTTCTGTTGCTCTTGCGTCGAACATCTGATTCACTGGCGAAATCGTGGTTGCCGTCGCAGGAGACGTATCGAAATCAAGCATTCATTGTCTTTGAGCTTCGTGCGCACTTCAAATTTAGAAAAAGGCGCACCATCGCAACTCTTTCTTCTGTAGTGCGAGTCAGAGGTTTATCTACACTATTGTAAAATAAACAAAGTGATCAAGTTTTTAAAACAAAAACATTAGAGCAAAACTATCCAAGGGTAATAAATAAAATCTTCTCTGAAGTTGTTTCAGCGATTCGCTGGAGAGCCAGTAAATGAGTGAGAGACAAAACTCTCTGTGATGGAAGTCTCATCAAGTGGTTTACGCCGGCTTTCGAACAAACAAACAGACTATATTAGTGTCGAAATTAATATCTCCAGGTAATTTCTGCCTAATTGATTCTGAACGAACAGCAGTGATGATGTCATGGATGATGTCAACAGAGGGGCTAGGTCCTCAGTAGATGACAGAGAGCAGGAAGGGACGGAAAAGTGGTAAAATCATTTCCGAACAACGTCAAAAAAATCGGTGTTTTGAAGGCATTTCCCATCTTTCGTTGCCCATCAGCCACAATAACATCGAATTCGAGCACTTGGTCGACCGCGAGACCCTTCATTGGAGTGTCACTTCGTTGGACGTGATAGTTATTCGACAAACATATATCCGACTAAAAACAAGTTTTTCTGTACGAATATTTTTCGGTATTTCAGCAAATGTTATCGGTTTCGCAAGGGCAAGTAATACCATAGATAGCATCCAGCATTGCTTACTATTCTACCTTCAAACGCTTCCCAGTGTTTTTTCTTTTCAGTCTCCTAACTATAAAATTCTCAATAGTGGAACAGACGTTTATTTATGATCACATCATTGTCAAATATTAGTAAGATAACATTGATTGACACAAAAGTATACAAATGTCGGATAAGTATTATCAGACTTTGACGGATTTATGATTTTTATTCTGGTCACAGAGGGAAAAAACGCTAGACATCTCTTTTCTCAGTTTTTTCTTTCTCTTTCAGTTATTGATCATGGCCTATCCATGGGGTCTCTACCACTTTTTCCAGAAGGTTCTTCGAACTGCGTCAAACTTTTAGGGTTTGTAGAACTTTTCACGCTGATCATTTTGGTATAAAAATAGTTATCGGTTCAATGTAAAATTGGAGCGACACGAGCTGCACTAATCGCGATTTTTTTGCAAGAAACCTCTCAAAATTTTCATCATTTGGTATTTTGACCTGAGAGTGAGCGTGAATCTAACTACCATTATCGCGATTTCACCTCTGCTAAGAGGATCATCAGATGGCTTTGATCTTATGCAGATCTGTCTGGTATGATCGAAGAGATCACCACAAGACATACTATACTGTCTCACTGAAATAGGGATATTCTAATGAGATGGTAGACAGCTTTTTACACAATATATACACCCTCACTCCCTTATCATCGACATGCTGTCGAGATCGTTTCGAGCTCTATTTCAACATTCTGTCTAGAACTTTGTGTGCTCTATTTCGACATGCGCCTGCTCTCCTGTGTATAACAATATTGTCTAACTGATAAACCATAGATTTTGTGATTTGAATTTTTTTGTTTTTGTATATATTGTGTAAAAAGCTGTTCTATTTCATTTAGGTGAGATGAAATCGCGATAATCATAGCTAGATCTCACACCGTTTCTTACTGTGTACGTACCATCTCATTAGAATATCCCTATT